AATTATAAACGCTAGAATTTACAATTGAAGATAATCTTGTGAAGAGAGCCACTAACAACCTTGATGGACCTGCGAGGAGCCTCCTTGCATCTGTCTGGGGGCCTTTGACAATGCGAGAGAGTTGAAGTGGATGATGGGCTTGACAATATGAGAACTAGAGCTTAAGGGTGATGTCTCATGTCCTCTCCTGGCACCGAGGACTGACCTCAGTTTATATAGTGAACCTTAGGGGCTCGAATCCTAGTAAGACTGTAAGTCCTACTTGGTAGGGGAACTTTCTTTTCGGGAAGAGATCGGATTCTTTGCCTTTATCTGTCAAGGCTTTCCTCTTTAGGTGAGATATGAGATCTTGTTAGAAGAGGAATTTGGTTAGGATTCTGATCCTTGTTATGGACTGTTGCAAGCGAATGGGTCGGACCCAATTTAGCTTAACTCGGGAGGTCGCCCAACTTATAAAGCAGGCAGTTTCCAAGGTATTCTAAGCGTGGGCCCAGTCGAGATTGGGTCAAGGTTTTGGGCCGTCACATATCATTGTTGCAATTGGACCTCGTCAAGCCCAATACAAATTTTGGCCCATATAGAGTACCATCGTGAAAGACAGATAGTAGTCAACATCCCCAAAGATTGCCCGAATATAAGGATTTGGGCATTATCGTCTTCAACCACCAGTCTCAAATTGCCCGACTTACTTGAATGATTAAACAAACACATAATTACAAATGCAAAAACATAAACTTTAAACCAATGTTTTAATAACCAACCCAGGGTGAAATCCAGCAAAGTGGCCAAGTCCCAAGTTGATCGGTTTAATTTGTTTTACCCCATGTCAAAAAGTTTGAAATCCAACAAAAACACCCTTAAAAATTACATGTAAGTCCCTACATGTTTAAAATCTTATAAAAACACCCCAACACCACCAACAGTGTCGACAAATAGGGCATGTTTTCAGTGATGACAACACTCTCCTCAGCCTTTTGATAAAAACCCATCTCACATTTCCCTCGATTGCCTCACCAATCACTGGCAACAGCGGGGATTTAGTTTTGTGATTACCAGTCGATTCACTCACCGAAAATCACCTTTGTCGCCACCATTGTACTCACCTACCCTTCCTCTTCAAAACCCCTAACATCACAGCCTTTAATTGTTCGCCGATCAGCTTCCTAATTTATAGGGTTTTCAGTGAACAGGAAAATTGGTAACTCAGCCCAATGAAGGGCCTAGGTCCCGGTTCAACCAGTCGGGCTAGGCTGAGTTTTAAAACATTGCTTTAAACCCTCATTTTGTTACTAAATCTAGAAATGTGACATCCAACTATAATTAAAAGCTATTCAAGGCTAAATTACGATATTTAACGTATAACCTCCCACCTAAACTATCTCACATTTGAAAAACCTATATTTTATAACTTATAATAGATGAAAAAATAAGATAAATATCTTTAATTTAGTGATAAATAGGTGATAATTGATTGATTTAATTTTGATGTGTGTTTAGATACATGAATAAGAGGTGAAGAGATTGGGCTTTATATATAAGGGTAAAATTGTCAATAGAATGAAAAGAGTTATCGAGTATAAGCTCCTGTTTGTTACAATATTCTAGATCATTATTTTGTTATCCTATTTGGATTAAAAAATAGGATATGTATTTGTTTACTTATTGTGATCATTATTTAGAAAATTAATCCAAATTAAAATACATTTTTTTCTCTAAAAATAAAAAGAGGGAGAGACTTGTTTTCAGATTATTCAACTCTATTCAATTCAAAACATTTTTCTATCCAACTCTATTCAACTCAAAATATTTTTTTTTCTCTCTCCTCATTTTTCTCTCTTTCCAATCTGAAAATTAATCACCCAAGACCACCACCGCTAGCGCAAGTGACCACCGTCGATCGACGTGGTTAGAACAGCGCACAATCGATTTGATCTGGTCAATTGTACATCGATCTGGCCGAAAATTTCCAGATCTACGGCCAAAGATCTGGCCAAGATACAGCTGTTAGGGTTGGAAAAAAAAAAAAACAAAAACCGAACCAAAAATCGGAAGAAACCAAACCAAAAATTTAGTTTTTGTTCGGGATAATGGGTAAACCGAATATTATGTTCGGTTTCAGTTTTTGGAAAAAAAAAAAAAAAAACAAACAAACTAGTTAACCGAAACTGGATTGCTAAACTGGTTTTTTTTTTAAATAAATACCTCTCTCTCTCTCTTTCTCGGTTTCTCCATCTTTTTCTTTTATTAAATACCTATCTCTCTCTCTCTGCAAATACAAATTGCGATTCAAATGGCATCCACTTCTCTATCTTTTCCTTCTCTACAACTTTAGTTCCATACTCCACAAAAAACATCATCATCAAAACCATGCTCGCGTCAACTCCCATCACCGCCTCAGTTTTCGAGAAGCCATCTGTACAAGCACCACCAACCACGGTTTCACCATCTCAACCTACCACTCAACCTCCGATCCAAAAAATCCCAGAAACTATGGTCTCCCTTTTATTGGTCCGATCAAAGACCGTCTTGACTATTTCTACAACCTTGGTAAAGAAGAGTTTTTCAAGTCAAAAATGCAAAAGTACCAGTCAACTGTGTTTCGAACCAACGTGCCACATGGCCCTTTCATCTCTCATCACCCAACCGTCATCACTTTGCTAGACGGTAAGAGCTTTCCGATTCTTTTTTATGTGACGAAAGTTGAAAAGAGAGATCTTTTCACTGGTACTTTCATGCCCTCAACCGAACTCACTAGTGATTACCGTGTTTTGTCATATCTTGATCTCTCCGAACCAAATCACGGAAAACTTAAACAACTTTAAAAAGAAAAAAAAACTGGTTAACCGAACCGATTTTTCAGTTAACTGGTTCAAGTGGAAAACTGGTCCGATTTCAGTTAGGTTTTCCACTTGAATCGAAATCCGGTTCGGTTCATAAAAATGGCAAACCAGTTCGATTGACCAGTTTTTGCCATCCCTAGTGGCCGTCATTGACGGCCAAATTTTGGCTATTTAGTCGTCATTGATGGCCATAGATCTGGCTGAAAACGGCTATATCGACGTACGATCGGCCAGATTTAGCTAGTTGTGCACCGTTTTGGCGACTGTCGAATGTCGTCTGGTGGTGGTGGCAGGTTGCCAGCTATCCTCTTGGGTGGCTAAGGTGCTTTAGTTAATTTTTAAACTTTTATTGTGAAAGTGTTTAGCTAAATTAACAAATATATCAGGTTAAAAAATAATAATAAATATTTTCAAAAAATGTATCAAACAACTATTCTGTCTTAAAAACCTTTTTAAAAAAATATACCAAACAATTATTCAAGCATTGTAACAAACTCTAATATAATATTAAGATATTTTACCAAACATATTTTTAGAATTTGGTCATATTCGATTTAATCTAACTCAGCTCAATTTAAAACACTTTTTCGAAATAACATTTTTCAAATAATCTATTAAACAAACCCTAAGATTTTTCAAAATAAGCTATCTGCCATTTCACCCATATAAATAGGGCTACTTATTGATTGCCCATACAATATTGATAACGGTGGGGGGCAGTGAGCAATTTCTCAGGAGGTTTGTCGATATGGTAAGGATATGGTACACGTATACCTGTATACATAGAAAAGTATGTCAGGAGCCCACAGGAATCAGTAGATCTATGGGCTACGAAATCTCATGATCAAACTTCAAAGTACTGTCTTTAAAAGACATTTTTCCTTAATTATTAAACCTGTTACCAAGTATAACACTCCACGCTCAATAATGAGCGAGTGGACCTCACAGCCTAGAGATGAGAAGTAGACCTGGCAAACCGGACCTAGGCGAATGCGGTCGAGTAGATGCGGGTAACCTGGAAAATGGTACGATTAAAATTTTGGATGATACCACTTTGTTAGGTCTAAGAACGATAACTTTCTTCCGTATTATTGATATTTCATCATCTGGGTATTTCAATAATAATAATCCCAAAATCAAAATATGAAACTTTTATTTAAAGAACAAATTATTGTCAAATTATTTGATTTAGAAATGTAATGCATATTAGAAATTTAATTTTACCTCAACTTTGATAATCTAATAACCCATGACAAGGGTATAGTGGAGGTCAAAATTTATTTTTCATTTAATTTTTTTTATTAATGCCTTAATTGTTCTTCTTTACCAAATAAAACTCAATTCTAACAATTTATGGCAAACCTTCCATTTTTTTCCTATTTATTATTGTGTATGGATCAATGATTGTTATAATTTTAAAAGCATTGTAAATAAGAAATTAAATATAAATTTAAAGGATGTAAGACTATCAAACTAAAACAAGTAATGAAAGATTTATATCTTGCGATCAACTCCATTATAATAAGAGAGAAAAAGTGAAAAAAAAATTCAAAATCAAAATCAAAGTGTAGAATGTAATTAAGGAAAATGATAGAGATAATCCTTTACCTTTTTGTTATTTAATAAAAATTTCTTAGTCAAAAAAATGAAAAAGATCTTAACCGTAAATTTAAAATTGGTCTTGGAGATCTTAAAAAGCTTAAATAAAGTTAAATAAAGAAAGAATCATTGTCCAATAGTTTATTAGATAAAGTTATTTACATACTATTTTATTATCTTTCCATCAATTTTTTACAATTTCTTCACGTAAAAGTTTTAAAATAGTGTTATCAATATAATTACTTTTAAGAAATAGAACTTTCATATTTAAAAAATTAATAATGTTTTGTTTGTGAATATTAAAGATTATCTTGTAATACATTGTCATTACCCGTTATAAATGATATTGAAGAAATATTTCGAGTTTAAAAACATTTGGCGGAAAAAAAAAAAAAAGTTAGTTCATTTGTCAAAGCACGCGCCTTAGTGGAGAGTGAAAGTAAAAAATAATCATATGCGGTATGACAAATTATCTACTTTTACCCATTTTCTCCGGTTTCCTTTTTTTTTTTTTTTTTTTTTTTTTTTTTAAAAAACTATTTTTTATTCCTTTTATAAGCAGATTAATTCATTCCTCCATTTGATCTGATCACATTAACCCTCGGCTCCTCCTCTTCTCGTCCCTTCTCCTCTGCATCTTATCGCGAACCAATCAGATTCACGGCGATGGCGAGAGGATTGGAGGTGGAAGGCTTCAATTTGAAGCAGCGACACGGCAAAGCTCGAGTGAGAGTGGCCAGGGTTTGGAAAGGCAAAGACGGCCGCGACTCCATGGTGGAATGGAACGTCAGCATCAGCTTGCTCTCCAAATGCATCAACGCTTATCTTGACGGCGACAACTCGGATATTGTCGCCACTGACACCATGAAAAACACCGTACGTTTGTTATTTTGTTAGTTTTACTTTCTTTTGACTGACACGCTGTCCGTACATTTTTTCATGCCTAAACGATCGCGTTTCTACGTACACTCGCTTTATTAAAATCTTACAAACGATTTTTTTTTTTTTTTTTTAAATTTTAGTCAAGCTTGTTTTAGTTTTTCTTATTTTTCTGTGCGATTTAAGTATTATTTAATTTTATTGTATTTTTTTATTTAATTAAATATTAATCAGCATAAAATTTTGATTTAATAAAAATTCAAAAATGGATGTACTGAGAAAAGTCTGTGCTAGGAATTGTGAGGTGAATATTCATTTTTAAAAAAATTAGAAAGTATCTAATTAAAAATTGAAGTTGTTAATTAAAAACTTTAATTTTTATAGGTATATGCTAAAGCGAAGGAATGTTCAGAGCAACTTTCAGTGGAGGACTTTGCTGTGCTACTTGCCAAACACTTCGTATCTTTTTATCGTCAGGTAGATTTATTTTTATGCAAACGCATTTTTTTTTTTTTTGCAATGAAAATTGAAGGATTTCTGATTGGAAGAACCTTATTACACAGCGTATTTGAAAATAATTGAAAATTAAAGACATTTGAATCTGGCCAGTGACCCTGCCGGCATTGTTGGGTAGATCTCCGGGCAATCTAATTAGTGAAGTGACTTATTTAGAGCGTTAATGAGCCCTGTTGGTACTTTTATTTATGAATTATTTGGAGGATTGAACAGTGCTGTTTTCTTTTCTTCAGGTTACTGGTGCCATAATAAATATAGTGGAGAAGCCATGGGAACGTTTACATGTAGCTGGGCAACCACATGAACATGGTTAGTCCCTTTAATCCATCAGTTTGGAATATAAGATTATTGTTATTATACTTGTTAGTGATGATTAGAATGTTGTATGGATACGAAATTCCGTGGATCATCATTTCCAATCTTCTTCTAAGTTGCTTTTGATCCTTTGGTTTGAAGGTTTCAAACTCGGATCTGAGAAGCATACCACAGAGGTTATACTACACGAGAATGGTGCTTTGAAGATTAATTCTGGTGTTCAAGGACTAGCTTTGCTGAAGACCACCAAGGTAAAGTCATTTATCTTTACCTTTTTATATAGCCTAAATCAGCTCTGAGGTGTTGATGTAGGACAGAAGAAGGTTGTACATCTTCGTAATTTTTTATGTTTATCTGATGCTCGATGGTAGAAACTGCTTGAAGTTAGGATTATGGTAATTCAGTGGTTGGGGTAGTGTTGATCTAGCATGCTTTTATAATTCTTTTGCTGATTGCTGACTTTGGATGCTACGTTATGAAAAGTCTGGCTTTGAAGGGTTTATTAGGGACAAATACACGGCTCTTCCCGATACTCGAGAGAGGATGCTGGCGACAGAGGTCACTGGTACATGGAGGTACAGAATTTATACATATAAGTTGACAATGATTTTCACATGCATCTAGGTTTTTTTGTTCTAAAATTTTGAACCATTTGTATTTGATTCCTAGCTTAATTTTCCCACCTCCCAAGTTAGGAGGATGCAGAGGTGTGATCCTAATTTAAATGTGGATGCAGGTATTGGTATCCATCTGCCTTCAAACTCCCTGAGAATCCACTTTATTTCACTGAGAGATACCTGGATGTAAAAAAAGTTTTGATGGATACGTTCTTCGGTCATCCAAAAGTGGGAGTATACAGCCCATCTGTTCAAAGCACTCTCTATGACATGGCAAAGGCTGTCCTCTCCAGGTGACCATCAATGCCTTTGCTCTCTTGATCTAGCTTGTGTGTGCAGACTCATGAATGCACGCGCTCATCCACATTTTTGACACTTAACCTCATGCTTTGGTTTTTGTAAGTGGCGTTATTCTGACTGATTCTTGATTTCCATGGTTTCAGCTTCTCCGACATATCTTCGGTTGAACTAGAAATGCCAAATATCCATTTCTTGCCGGTTAATTTATCAAACAGAGATAAGAACACTATTGTGAAGGTAATTTTCTTTTTTTGGTGATTCATTACCCCTATGGTACATTAGAAATCATACTCTAATTGCAGATATTTACAAACCATGAAGATTAAGTTTCATTATTGCATCTATGGGTAACTCTTGCTAAATAAATGTATTGACTGAAAACGGATTAATCGACTCATGATAACATTAACGTTTTTGTCGAATTCTGCAGTTCAAAGATGATGTGTATTTACCAACAGATGAACCACATGGATCGATTGAGGCAAGCTTGAGCCGTATCCCATCAAGGATGTAGAAGATGTTACAGGCATAGTTTGCAGTGGAAGGCTTTCTAGCTCATAGTCTGCTTGATCATTCTCAGAAGACAAAATGAGCAATGTACGAGTCTCATGGAAATGTTGAATGTTTCTCATATTTCATGCCATTTTATTCAGTTTCCCTAGAAGTTGCTTGTGTTGCTTATGCTAAATGATGTATAACAAAGATGTTGTTCGGTAACAACGAACGGAGATTGAAATAAAGGCCATTATCTAAAGGGGTTTTTCATGACATGATTTTATGCATTTTTTTTTTTTTAAGTTGCTAGATTAAATTATGAAAAAATTGTTTTTTTTAACTAATACTCTTTGAAAATCTAATCTATAATTTAGAAACTAATACTCCCTTAAGATTTAATTTGTAGTTTAGACGTTTTAGTTAAAAATGTATTTTAGAAAATTCTTAAAGAGTCAGTTGACGGGTATACATGCTGATATGTTTTTCAAAATAATTTATAGGGGCGTTTTGGTTGGGGGTAACGTGGTATTATCGAGGTTATATCATCTTATATTATTTGATTATTGCGTTCGGTTGTCAAGTAATATAAGATTCTTGTAATCTTCAAATATCAATAGTAGTTACTGTTGGTAATATTTAAGGTAATCTGATTACCTTCATTTTTTTAGGTATTGTAAGATTGTCAGGGTAATCTTTTATTTGTTATAATTCTATCCCTTATTAATAAAATTTTAGGACAATGATACCTTTATTTTTAAATTTATTTACATGAATATTCCTTTACTATTTCACCTCAATTAATTAACTTTTTAAACAAAATTACCCTTGAATTCAAAACAAATTGCAGTCCACTCAAGCCATCTCCCCCAACCACCTGTCGCCGCCAGAAAGGCACATAGAAGGTCAGAAATGGCTGCAGTGCGCTGATATGGCCGTTGACGGCTAGATCTAATCTGGCTATCAATAGATCTGGCCGTTGACAGCTAGATTGATGGCCGTCAACGACTATGTCTATTGCCGTTAACGGCCATCAATCTGGCTGTCAACGGCCAGATCTCTGGCCGGAATGGTTATACGGCCTCACAGAGGTTATTTCCTGTCTTTCGTGCGCCGTTAAGTTGCCGGCGATCGGCAGTGTCTGAGTTGTGGGGATGCTTTGTTGATTTTCCAAATTTTTATTATGGGGTTGTTTTTGCTAAGTTTTTAAATGCAGAGGGTTATAATAATCCAAATACTAATCAATATTAAAAAATAATATAATAATAATATTTAGTTAAAGGACAATTCAGTAATTTAAATAACATACCCATCAATTTATTCCTCCCAACCAAACATACTAATAAAACATACCCACTAATTTATTCTAACTAACCAAACACATTTTCCTAAAGATTTCCAATAATCTTCAAGGTAATCTAATTTTTCAGTAATCCAATATTTTCCGTAATCCAACATTTCCTAAACCAAACGCACCCATAGAGTTAAAATCGACCTCGAGATTTGATTTAATAAAAAAATTAGATCGATAACAAGATGTTATAATTTCTACTCATACGAGTTAATAAATATTTATTTGGTTTGATATTTAAAACTAGATGACTTAAGAATTTTTGTTATTTTGTTCATTTCTTTTACTCTAAATAAATTTTTCTATTTTTTGTTTTTAATACTTGGCAGAACTGCAGAAACAAGAATTAAGGTATATTAGCTTATTTTCTTAAAAGATTGCACGTAAACACATAGATTTAATTGTGTAGACTAATATTGCATAAAGTGGGCAAGGCCCAGGCCCAGGCGATCCGGGCCTAGGCCCTCAAGGTCTGGTCCCAAATTGAGACAAGTCTTTGAGAGATCGGGCCCAAATCCTCAAGACCATCCTGGGCCCATGAGTTTTTTTAGAGCTCGGACCGGTCTCAAGACCGATCTTATGGGTTTGAAAAATTTTATTTTTAATTCTTAATTTTTTTTATAAAAGTATTTTTAACTCTTAAATTTATTATGTATTTCATATATTGTGGGAGGTTTTGTATATTTGTCAGAGGATTCATGTAATTTGGCGGGGGTCTAAAAATGAGCATGGTCCAGGATCAGTCTTGGGATTGGGTTTTGAGCCCGGACCCTTTGGGACCGGGTTTTGAAGGGCCTGGGCTTTTTTCCCATTATTGCATTTATAAAGTTTCCAACATAATTTTTGTATCTTAAATAATATAAAAAATTAACATGAAACTAATAGTAAAACAAACTAGAGAAAGATTTCATAATATAAATTAAACTAGACATGAGGCCCGTGCGATTATTCAATGTTTTATAAATAGATTGTAAACAAATTTATTTTAACAAAATAAGCTAATTAGATTAAGACATAATAATTGTTAAATTATACAAATTTTAAAGTAAATATAAATTTTATATATATACAAAGTTGTGTTAAGATAAAATTAATAATTGTACTTGTATAATTATTAATATCAATTATAATTAGATGTCATTAAATCATTCATCAAACTTAAGAAGATCACGAGAATATTATATGGTGTAATTATATTTTCAGGATCATCACCTTGTACAATTTATATTATTTTTGCAGACATTTCTTTGATATTCGATGCCAGTATTTTGTAATGAATCGTGTATGATATTTAAGATCACCTGAATATTATCAAGATCAACTATTTAAACTTAAAATTTATACTGACCTTCCGCAATTTCTGTAACTTGTATTCATTTTCAAGTTGCGTTGCATGAGTATATTTATTATTATTATTTTTTTTTTACATTATTATTGGTTTTTTTGTGTTTTAAATATATATTTTCTATATTGAAGTTCATTTTATATTGAATTGATAATTAAAAAATCAATAAATAAAATATCCATAAATTAAACTCAAAGTCTATATCATCATGGTTCTTTTCAAATATGTCACTATTTGAAATCTGCAACCAAAGTTTAAAACTTTGTCAAGAAAAGCAAAAAAAATTATAAGATAACTCACTGGGTATTATTGATCAACAATGCTACAGACACCGGGCTTTTTACACCGAAATCTTGTACCGGCCTACGTGTCCTGTGACTCACACCATTCAACACATTTCACGTTATTAAATTTTCTTCTAGTGAACAGCCGTTCACTTACATGGACTCCCATCCATATAATATGGATAGGGGTCCATTGACTACGGACGGGCGTCCCATTTAAAGGACACCCGTCCATCAATAAATGGAATAAAAAAAATAAAAAAAAATAGGGACGACCGTCCATAAATATTGGACGGGCGTTATATGTTAATGGATGCCCTGTCCATAAACAAGCGTTTTTAAAAATTTAAAAACATTTAGGGATGACCGTTCATCAGTTATGGACGGCCGTCCCTTAATTTTGGACGGGCACCCGCAAATAAAGGACGCCCGTCCATAATGTAAATATAAAAATTTTAAAAAAACTTGGGACGCCTGTCCATAAATTGTGGACGGGCATCCCTAACGTGTGGACAGACGTCCATAAGGAATGGACGCCCGTCCATAATGTGGTTTTAAAAAATTTAATAAAATCTTTGGACGCCCGTCCATAAATGGCATCCATTATGTATGGACGGCCATCCGTAAGGAATGGACGCCCGTCCATTATGTATGGACAGTCGTCCGTAAGTAATGGATGGTCGTCCATAAGGAATGGACGTCCGTCCTTTAGTTTTGGACAGACGTCCGTACTGTAATTAAAAAACATATTAGGTTAAAAAATTTGGGGGGAAGTTTTTAAAATTTAAACAACACAGTCGCAGTCTTCTTCTTCGTCTTCCATCTGCGCTCTGGTTCTTTGTCTTCCTCATCTCATATGCGCTCTTGTTCTTTGTCTTCCTTATCTACCATTGGTAATTAGACACTTTCGTTTTTCAATTTTTTTTTTTTTTTTATGTTGGATGAATGTGTTGGATTCTACATTTGTGTTTAATGGAGTTGAGTTGATAAAGAGAAATCCTATCAATTTGGTGGGACTGGTTTGTGTAATTGATAAATAGAAGTGTTCTGTTTTGAGTGTTTTTGGCTTGGAAAAAACTTACATTTTTGTTGGTTGTGTGATATGCTCTCTTTGAAGGTTGTTTGTTGGTTGTGTGATCTGCTCTCTTGGAAAAAGCTTACACTTTCGTTTTTCAATTTTTTTTCAATATTATGCATGATACAATTAAATTAAGCCTACAAAATATTGTCAAGTGTTATAAACAATCAGAGTTGGGAGCTTGAACTACCAATTTAGGCTTAAACATCTGTTTTTGTCAGTAGACACTGTAATGCAAAACATCGGTTTTTTTTTTTTTTTGGTTGTTGTTGTTCCTAACTGATTGAGTAAGTTGGAGATTAGTTTAAGCTGTTGCAGGTTTGAGATGAGCTGCAGATTTGGTGCTTCTAAATATTGGTTGATGAGTTGCAGGTTTAATGAATGAGTTGAAGTTGATTTGAACTACAGGTTAATGTAGGATTATAAAGCATTTTTGCTGAAAGTTTAATGTTCAAATTTGAAGTGGATTGAGTTGAGCTGCAGGTTTAATAAGTTGAGTTGGAGTTGATTTGAACTGCAGTTTTAATGTAGATTTTATAATGCCTGATTTGAGGAGTTGATTTGAGCTGAAAGTTTAATGTGCAATTTTGAGGTTGATTTGAGGAATTGATTTAAGCTGCATGATTAATGTGCTATTTTGAGGTTGATTTGAGGAATTGATTTAAGCAGCAAGCTTAATGTGCAATTTTGAAGTTGATTTGAGGAGTTGATTGAAGGTGCAAGTTTAATGCAAATTTTATAATGCCTGATTTGAGAAGCTGATTTGAGTTGCAAGTTTAATGTGCAAGTTCAATGCAGGTTAAGAGAAAGATTCAAAGACTGCACAATTGGTAGTCTAGTTGAGATAGTTGAAAAGTAAACCAGTTTTGCTTAAAGGGAAGTATAAGCAAAAGACTAAAACGATGGCGTTTCTGTTTGGCCTTTTACTAAACCAAAAGTGATGTCATTTTTACCATTGTCTACTTTAACCAGTCCCACTAGTCTGTTGTATGTAATCTGTCTATTTTATGACAACGTTAAACATGCAGCAAACCAGAGGATTTTTTTCTTATTGCACCTAGTATTTTTTTTTTACTTATTTATTTGCTTCTTATTGCTTTTCTTGTTGGGTTGCTTCTTATTGCTTTTTTTTTTTTTTTTTTTTTTTTTTACTCAGATTTAATTTTTGAATATATATTTTCTGAACAAAATGTGTGCACCAAAATTCAAAGTCTGTTATA